CATAAAATGAGGCAAGTTTTAATCAAACCATTTGACATGAACGAATGCTTGTGTCTTACTTACTGGTGAGAAATTGTACTTCTTCTTTAAAGGACATCCCTCTCGCTTTTTTTTCCACTATTTTCTGAGGGTCTCACCCAAAAAAGAACATAAACGACGGAGGACGTCATTAATCTTAGATAAAGCCAGCGATCAAGGTAAGGCAATGTATAGTAATGACCCAATTTATTGACTTATAATTAAAATGCAATTTATGCAAAAGGGACATAGTTGAAGCAACTTGAGGTCCAATGCATCCCTGGACCCTGGTCCAAATTTCTGAATGAATATGCCACTTTCTGAAGTCACCTTTGGCAATAATAGCTAACATTATGAGTTGGTTTGGCAGTAAAGGTTTTTTTTTTCAACAGTAAAGATGTATTTAATTCAACTTTTGTATATTTCGAGGCTAATATCTCCTTGGTAGTGGTTAAGGCGCATTCTTTAACATACGAACTTAGATATTTTAAGAATAAATTTTTAAGAATATTAGCCACAAAGATTCAATCATGAACCTCGTCTATAAATCAATGCTTGTTTATCGCTAACTGCTACTTTATGATTGTAAAGTTTTTCAATTCACAAGTGATTTCAAAGTATTTTCAATTTCATTGGTGTCTTAGTTAAATTTTTTAATACAATAACTTTCAGTTGTATTTCTTCTCGAGTCTTTGTTCTTTTTTTATTTTTTGTAATTATTTGTAATTTTATGCGAGTTGTCCGTTGGTTATCATTTTTCTTGTTTTCCCAAAAAAAAAAATTGATATGCAAATTTATTTGAATTAAAAATCGTACTCTATGTGTTTTAAAGAGATCCTTTCTTTTGAAATTTCACACGATGTAAAAAAAATTAATTGTTATATCATATCGGTATTTTGTCTCCATACTTTTCTAAAATATTTTTTTTGTTAAAAGTATTAGTTATCAAATTTAATCATACATTGCATGAAACCAAAATTAATTTAAGAAGAAAATCTATTCAAAATTAAGGTGATAAATAAAAAAAATTATTAAGCTCATTAACTATTAAATTTTAAATAATTATGAAAAAATAACATACTATTAAAAAATATATTTTCTCTCAAAATTTTGGCAATATTTTTCATATAACAAAAAATTTTCTTTTGAAATTTTTGTGTTAAAAGTATTTCTATATATAAGAAGAAAGTATAAAAAATATTAAAATTTTGTTAACCAGAACAAAAAATGAAAGAAAAAATTGATTTTCTTTATCGAATAAAAGTATTTTAAGAAAATGTATTATTTAAGGTTTGACTAGAAAAATATTTTAAGACATATAAATAAAAAGAAAAATAATCTCTTTAAAATAGAAGAAATATATATATATACACACACAATAATACAAACATATCACGCCTTCTAGCTGGCTAGCAAGTATCATCAAAAAGTGTATGTATATATATATATATATATACATATATATATATATAAACCAAATTAATTTATACAAAATAATGGTGACACTACAATAAATTTCATGTTAATATATATGGCTAGAGCCGGATAATCAACAATGAATGGCATCACACACTATTGCACAATGAATGCTCGATCTTGACTTTGTTGATGGTTTAGACCAATAAGATTCTTCATGCATGCTGAACTTAATCACAACCCTTTTGGAAAGAAATTAGGTCGTCCTCCCATCCAGCCAAACATATTGAGTTTAAGAAACTTTTTTGAATAAAAAAATAATCCTACTAGAACAAAGTGAAGACACGCAATGATCAAATTAAATCCATTGGGTTCAAAATGCTTACTTATATAGTACGTATAGAAAAATTCTTGACGGTTGAAATCAAACACGATAAAATGCCATAATTAACATATTTGAGTTCGTGTGATGCAAAAATATTGGGTCTTGTGGAAAATCATGAATTCTTAGACAAGAATCGTCCAAAACTTAATGCAAGTTAAGCCATGGCATGCCGATATCTTAATTTGGATGTTCTAAGTTGCTTCAATCATTATTTTCTCCCATCGATCTTTGAATTCCCATACAACAAAAGTATTTGGGAATGTAAACCGTCCCACCAATGTTTGCATGCCATATTCTACCGCCATTACAAGGATTGACTTATCGAGCTATAGTAAAAAAAAATGAAGTGAAAAAATAAAAATAAAAATCTCTTTGATTAGTGGAGGACACTCTGCCCACCAAAGAGATTAGTTGGAGCAATACAACAAAAGGTTTGCAAAAGAAACAGATTAGTGGACAAAAGGATGTTTTTAGATACACTTGAAATGGCTTACATGTGAGAGCAGAAAGATTTAAAAAGATAGTGCCCACCATAAGATAGGATTTATTATTTCCAAAGAAGAAATAAAAGAAAAGAAACCGAAGACGCAATTCCAAAAATCTGTTCTCATGTAACAGGACGTGCAAAAATAGGGGTCTAGAAAAATTCATGGAAGCCCAATTCTCTGGCAATCATGATGTTAGTGATGAAAAGCCCAAGATAGGGCAAGCAAAGTTAATAGTCCAAAACGGGCTTGAAACCCATGAAAGGAAAATGATTTGAATGCATTTCTTTTTAAATTGTTAATCACCTCAAATTTTGGTGTGAATCGACCGAAGGAAAGATATTTGTTCTTTTTATTTTGATTGATTTTTATATTTTTTTATTTTTATAATAAAGAAATAACCAAACCAATCAACTTGAATTTTTTTTTTTAGTTCTTCATATACAGTATAAATAGGGAATTTTTCTGATTTTAATTCTGATACATGATAGATATTAAATTAATAAATAACTATTTATATTTATCTATATAAATAATGATTATCATTATCCAAAATATAATTAATTTGGTTAAATTAGAACTCTGAATGCCCATTATTAGCTTTTTAAATTGTCGCATTTTTAGCTTGCCATATGATGCATGCAAACCTTCAAGATTTCTTTTCAATCAAACCTTTTGACATGAACCAATGCTTGTGTCTAACTTACTGGTAAGAAATTACACTTCTTCTTTAAAGGACATCCCTCTTACTTTTTTTGTCACTATTTTCTAGGGGTCTCACCCAAACAGAACATAAATAAGGGAGGACATTAATCTGAGATAAAGCCAGCGGTCAAAATAAGGTCATATGTGGTAATGACCCAATTTATTTATGCCACGGACATGGGTGAAGCAGCTTGAGGTCCAACGTTGCTCTTTTGCTCCAAATCCAATGCATCCCTGCTCCAAATTTCTGAATGAATAGGCCACTTTGTGAAGTCTGCTTTGGCAATAAATTTTTTTTTTTCCCTTATCTTATCTTATCTTCCAATATATCTGATATCTAAAGATCCAGATTAATTATTAGCTGTTTTGTTAAACACATAAAGCAAAGATAACTATCAAAAGTGTTTTTTATATGCATAAAGATTTGAACTCAAAATCACTTGTTTAAGCGAGTAGAACTCTTTCTACTCAAACCAACTTTTTTATATAAATTTTTTGATTTTTAGTTCAACAATAATAGGGTTTTTGGATTATTTTTGTATATCTCAAGACTCTTTTTTTTTTTTTTAATGTAGCTAAAAAGCATTTTTCAACATACAATTTTAGATATTTTAAGAATAAATTTTTAAAAATACTAATTATAAAATTCGGATCTGGAAACTCGTTCAAAATACATGTTTAATAGCCAAAAAACATTTTATGATTGAAAAGTTTTTCAATTCATGGCGACTTCAAAGTATTTTCAATTTCATTGATGTCTTGGTTAAATATTTTAGTACTATAACTTTCAATCATATTTCTCGAGGTGGAAATACGTAGCAGATTTTTTAATAAGGAATAGTCTTCATGTCTTTTTTTTTTTTTTTAATCATTTCGTAATTTTGTGCAGCTGTCTCCGATATCATTTTTCTTGATTTTCACCCAAAAAAAAAAAAAAAAAAAAGGTCATGGTACTATGTTGTTCAGTTCCTTAGCTAAAGAAGGACAGAGTGCTGCACATTGGCTATGGACCACATGTCATTGAAGCTAAAATTCAGCCACATAACTATTGACTGGTAAGAGGGAAACAAAAGCATAAATGAAAGCATCGAGAACATTACTGATTTGCCTCCAGAAACTCCCATCTCCATGGCCCTAGTTAGAGCAAGTTCAGCTTCCTACGAATTGTTCTAAATGAATCGACAACTCGATCGTCTCTACTTAACGGTGAACTCATAATACTACGGCCACTCTAGGACCATTTCTAGAAAAACAAGATGAGTATTCATCGATCTCAATGCTGGCCTGAGCAAACACAACTAGTTTCAAGCAGTTTGTATCAAATATTCCAAAACAAAAGAACATTATTGCATCCTTTTCTTTAATGACATCGACGTGAATGGGCATCAGCAAAAAGCTAAACAGATCCATATATGCTGCATTTGGAATCACATAACCATGGAAGATAGATGGACAGTCTCAACCCCTACTTACCTCATAAATATGGTAGTTGTTTGTTGAAATCAAGCCAAAAAAAAAAAAAGTCGAAGCAATTAAGACAGCTCCACATCTCACTTTTCATGCAATGCAATGAACATTAACCGACCATGACGTCCAAAATGAGACGAGCCATTCTGTTTCCATGTTTGCAGATAGAGAGAGAGAGAGAGCTAACATTACCGAAAGCAAATTGAAAACCATTACTTGCTGAATTTTTCTTGTAATCTTCACCCTTACACGAGTCCATCACCTCTTGTTTTCCTTACATCTGTCCCATTTGCATTTAAGTGAGTGATCCAGGGACAGTTGCAAGTTATTAATCAGGCTGATCATAATGTACATAGGTGATGTGTTGTCATTGTAACTGAAACAGCTTCCTTCAAGCAGAATTCACTCTATAAATTCTGCAAGCCACTTGCTATTTCCTACCATATTAACATAGGTTTATCTTCTTTCCTCTCATCATTAAAAATATCTACCTAGCTTTTTGTTGCAGGCTAAGAGACTAAAAAATGGAGCTCCATCTTCCACACATTCTTGCTTTCCTTGCTGTAAGATTCTGAATCTTCACTTTATTTTAACCCATCAGGGATTCCCTGGTCTTTCAGATGATTTTCTCTTTGTTTCCAATTAATTTTAGGCCTACTTTCTTATAATTATCTAATGAAAGCTTGTATTTACTTCCATATTGCAGTTTGCACTTGTGGTAAGCCATGCTGCCTTGCCACCTGAAGTTTACTGGAACAGTGTTCTGCCTAACACGCCTATGCCAAAATCTGTCAGAGATCTTCTACACCCAGGTGAGAATTTATGACCTGACCTACTACACTCTTAGAAACTTTTTTTTGGTAAAGCTCTTTAAAAACTTAAATAAATTCTGCTTGTTTTTGCTGTATCTAAGGTCAAGAAAAGCACTTCTAATTAATGTTGCTAAAATTGCAGACTTGATGGAAGACAAAAGCACTTCTGTTGCTGTAGGGAAGGGTGGTGTTAATGTTGATGCAGGGAAAGGAAAGCCTGGAGGCGCCACCGTAAATGTAGGAAAGGGTGGAGTGAATGTCAATTCTGGGAAAGGAAAGCCAGGCAAAGGCACCCATGTCAGCGTGGGAGGCAAAGGTGTTGGTGTTAACACTGGTAAGCCTGGGAAGAGAACCAAAGTTGGTGTTGGCAAAGGCGGAGTATCTGTGAGCACAGGACACAAGGGAAAGCCCGTACATGTTGGGGTAAGCCCATTTATCTACAATTATGCTGCAACTGAGAATCAACTCCATGATGATCCAAATGTAGCCCTTTTTTCTTGGAAAAAGACATGCATCCCGGCAAAATGATGAACTTGCAATTCACTGAAAACACCAACACAGCAACTTTCTTACCTCGCCAAGTTGCCGATTCGATACCCTTTTCATCTACCAAGTTGCCAGAAATCTACAGTGAGTTTTCAGTGAAACCAGGATCGATGGAAGCTGAGGTGATGAAGGATACGATCCAGGAATGTGAAAACCCTGGAATTAGAGGAGAGGAGAAATACTGCGCAACTTCACTAGAGTCAATGATTGACTTCAGCACTTCCAATTTAGGAAAGAATGTTAAGGCAATCTCCACAGAAGTGGAAAACCAAACCCAGATGCAAAAGTATACAATCAAGGCAGTAGAGAAGATGGCAGGAGAGAAATCTGTAGTGTGTCACAAGCAGAACTACGCATACGCAGTCTTTTACTGCCATGCAACACACACCACGAGGGCTTATAGAGTTCGCTTGGAGGGTGCTGATGGAACAAAGGCTAAAGCTGTAGCAGTGTGCCACACAGATACATCAGCATGGAACCCAAAGCATTTGGCTTTCCAGGTGCTCAACGTTAAACCAGGAACTGTACCAGTCTGCCATTTCCTTCCTCAGGATCATGTTGTGTGGGTTCAAAACTAGAAGCTGGAGTCCTGTCATTTCCTTCTCTACAGTCCACAGTACTTGAAATTGGAATGCTATAAAGTAATACGAGTAAATTTCAATTCACACCTGTGATGTTTATGTATTTTTTCGATTTCACCTTAAACTTTTTGTTTGGTTTAATTAAATCTCGTATCTTTCATAGTCCCATCATATATAAATTTCAATTTCATCTTTCAAAGTTTATAAAATATCTTAATATAACAAAAAGGATAAAAATAAAAAAATAAAATTGAAAAGTCATTAAATAAAGATTTTTTTTCCTATATAAAAAAAAAAGCATTTTAATTTTTTCAGCACTTTCCGGCAGTCCTTTGACAATGCAAAAATAAAATTAAATTAGAAAAAAATTTGATAAAAAAAATTTAATAAATAGTATCAACCATCACTATTGCTCTGCTCTTTCATATCGAACATCACTTCTAGTATATTATATATACAATGTTTATCTATTTGTTAATTAAAATTTTGAACAAAATTTTGAAAGAAAAAAAATCCCATATGAAGGGAAATGGAGCTTGAGTATAGAAGAATTTCAACATCACTTAAACTATGATTATTTCCACATATGTGTTATTAAATTGATGTCAATTAAAAAAAAAAATGATAGCTGAGATGTATCAGAATATGTAAGGAAAGTTTTGATGAAAAAAATTAAAAGAGATGGTTAAATATTGATTTGCATATAATTTATAATGTTGACAAAAGAAATGATATGTTACCAAGTAATAACTGAAGCATCTAGGATTTGAGGATTTTTTGAGAAACGAATCCTTTCAAGTTTTCTCATATTTGTTATAATAAAAAAATATATTTTCTATTGATTTTTTATTTATTTTATTTATGTTTACTTTTATTTTTTGAAAAATATTGAGATATGTCATAAATTTTAGGGATAAAACTGAAATTTATGTACCTAACAAAAATAAAAAGAGCGGGGAAATTGAAATAAAAGTGAACGACATGAAGATTGATTGGAACAAAAATAAAAAATATAGAGTCTAACTAAAATAAATCAAAATTTTTAGATGAAATAGAGATAATTAGGTTTTTTATCCGCATTGCACTTGCGAGTAGGGTAAAATATATAAAAGCTTTTAGAAAAATTATTTTAGTTTAATAGTTTATTTTATAGTGTGAATGTATAAAAATATATGAAATCAAAAATAAAAAATATATATTTTAAATTTTTTAATGTAATTTGAAATTAAATGGATGAGAATTTTTAAAAAAAATGACAAATTAAAGTAGTAAATTTTAAAAAATAAAAATAATTAACAAAAAATTTTCATTTAAAAATTAAAAAAAATTGTATAAATTATAATGATATATTTAAAAAATAAAACACCGACGTTCTAAAATTTCATTTCAAAATTCATATATTACAAAAAATAAATTTATTAACAAATAAAATTATATGAAAAAATTATTTTTATATGAATTTTAATAAGAAATAAATAATAAAAAATTAAATTTAAACAATAAAAGTAATATAATTATATATATAGATATACCATCTTTAAACTTTACGAAAAACTAAAAAAATAACAATTTATTTTTTATATTTTTCACCTTTTTTTTGTTTGGTAGACCTTTTTTCTTTATTTTTCTTCTTCTTCTATATATATATATATAGAGAGAGAGAGAGAGAGAGAGAGAGAGAGAGGTTGCAAGCCAATCGGGACAAGTGCCCGATTGGCTTGTGCAACCAACCCAACGAGGAAAAAAAAAACCTACAACTTTTGACGATCCGAAGGTCGTCAAAAAATCGAGGATTAACTTTCGGATCTCTAGAAATTAAATTCGGCATCATTTTTTTCCGAAACATCTCTAAATGATCGAATTAAGCTAATAAACACATCTAAAACCTAAAAAATCATTTTAATACACACAAAAATAAAGAAAAATACAAAATCAAATCAGTTTTTTTTCTTTTTTGGCTTCAATTTATCTCCTCTAACTGTTTAATGGGTTGAAACCACTATGAACAAACTCATATCTCAAAGATAAAAAAATATATATATAGTGGATTTTCGTTGACCGAGTGGCCTAAATAAGCTTAGCCAACAATCTCTCTCTCCTCTTATCTCTCTCTTCCTCTTAGCTTTCTCTCTTCACCTAGGGATCAAAATGGATAAGCAAAAGAACATATAGATCGAAATATGAATTCAAAAATATCAAGAACCAAAATGTAAAAAAAAAAAACTATGCATAGTGAAAGTAACATTGAAATGTGAGAAAGTGAATAGTAGAATATGCGTGTGTACACAGTATTTCAAATAGTAATCTACTGTTCATTTAATCATTTTACTTTAGTTTTATTAGTAAAATGGAGCAAATTAAAACTTTATATATATATATATCTTTGGTATGAAGTGGGCTTGAAACCCATGACAGTGGTAATGAAAAGCCCAAGATCTTATAAGAAAAAATAATAGTTCAAAATGGGCTTGAAACCCAAGCAAGAAAACTGGGGTTCAAAATAGGAGAAATAAATTGTCATCTTTGCTGGAGGCTTAATACTTTATTTTATTTTTTGTCAAAAAGACGTATACTTTTAAGTAATTATCAGCAATATTGATATTGAATAAGAGGAATAAAATATCAAAAAAAAATCCCGGAATTGTTTTTTTTTTGACTTTTAAAAGAGAAAATAAAAAAATAGCACTAATTTAGATGATTAAATAGTAGTACTAAATACAAATCTAAATAAATTTTAGGTTTTTCCAATTCATTATTGTATAGAACTAATAAAATAATATAAAAATAAGTAATTTTATTTCAATAAAGTACTGCCATGATACTATTTATTTAAAAGAAAAGGTATACGAAAATGTCTTTCTTTTTTCTTTTTTTTCTTTTTGCATGCTATTTTTTCACCTTAACTAAAGTTATTTCTTCTACAGTCCCCCTTTTTGTTTTTTCTTCATCCTTTGCACACCTGTTATTTATTTTTTCATCGTTAATAATCTTGATCATAAGCTTAACAAAAATTCAAAAATTGATTTCCTATATGAACAAATTGCCAATCATTATGTCCGGAATCATACGTCTTTGACAACATAAAGTGCATTTATTATCAAACATGTACTTAAGTAAAAATGATAAATATAAAATACTATTTTCAAACTAAATTAGGGTTTTAAAAGAGGGTGAATTGCTTATTAATATCGAGGTTAATCAAAAGATCAATGAAATTAATTTGCTTTTCACCGTACTCAATATTAATTTAGCTCAATAACTAATAGTTCTATAATAATCCTTAAACACTTCCTTTCTACTTTCCACTTCCTACTTCTCTAATCATAAAAGGCAATATATATATATATATATGAAAACATGCATGGAATCGTTATTTGTCTAAATGGGACACAAATAAAAAATTAGAAATCATAAACATATTCTAGTTTAATGAAGAATTTTGAAAAGAAATCACCTTTAACAGGTAAATCTCTAACAAAAAATAGAATTGTACATTTAATCTCCATTTTTGCAAGAACTCAATTTGTTTGAAGAAGAAACAAATATAAAATGGGGATGAGAGGAGACATTTGTGAGGGGAAGAAAAGAACACCATTGCAGAGAAATTAGAGTTTGTATATAAAATTTTAAAACTATCCTCCGATAAATATGAAAGACTTAATTAAAAACTAAAGGTAGTGTTCAAATCCAGAGAATAACTTTGTTTTTTAGAAAATTAATTTCACAGAAAATAGAAAATAGGACTCTGTGTTTAAATATGGCCATTTTCTATTTAGAGAATTGGAAAACACGTGTTTTCAATTATATAAATATGAAATTTTTTGTGCAAGTTACAAGAAAAAAGTTAAATAATAACAATGGACAAGTAAAAACTTAAAAAAATTACTTGGAATATAATTTCTATTTGAACATGTTTTTTGTTTTACAATATCAATAAACGAACATATTTCTACCTTTTTTTTATAAAAAATGAAAACTGGAAATAAAAAGGAAGATTGGAGATAGAAAATGGATGGCCATGCATTCTGACCATTAATTCTTTGAAAATTGTTTGTAAAAGCTCATTCTATAAAGTATCATATTATAGGCTTGATTAAAAGAGTATACAGCAAAATTATCTAAGAGTTCAATAATTTATCAAATATATCAATCCCATCCAACTACCCAAAAAACTCTCTCACTAAAGGGTCACGTCTCCAACAAAGAAAGCTTTACAAACAATTTTTTTTTTTTTTTTTCATATCATGATGCCACGTTATTTATAAAAAAAAAATGAGGTTTTTTGTATCTAAGTCCCTATTTTGGTTTTTAGTGATCTCAAAACCACGTCGGTTTAGAATTTTTTTATTTAAATGACATTGTTTTTCCAAAAAAGTTCAAGTTGTTCTTTTGAATTTTTTTCGCTTTAGTTCTTCACGTTCTAGGTTTGAACGAAACAGTCCCTCAATTTTATTTGTGTTACAACTATGTTTCTAAATGTAAAGGAAGGAGAGACAAGGCATGAAAGAGAAGTAAAGCAAGGGTGATGATTCGATTTTTTAGTTCAGTTTTGATTTTTTTTCGATTTTGGTTAATAAAATTGATTAAAATAAAAATCGAAATCGAAGTGAATTGAGGTTTGGTTTTTCGATTAAAAAACTGAATTTTTTGGTTTGGTTTTTCAATTTTCGATAAAAAACCAGTGTTTTTTTTTTACATCTTTCCTTTTGAATTTAAAATTTCCTCTTGAACCAAGCTAAAAGATCATGTTTTGCAAATTTTTTTCGATTTTCAAGAAATGCTTATAGTTTGAATTGAAAATTTAGCAAAGAAAATTATAGAAAAATGCTATGAGCCTTGAGTGGATGTGTTAAAAAAAACACACTAATTTGATTTTCGATAGAAACTAAATATTTTATATATAAAAAAAGAATTGAACAAAAAAAATTTTGATTTTCAGTTTCGATTTTTTTTCAATCTTTTTCATAAAATCAAATCGAAATTGTTAATTCAATTCG